CGGGGACCGGTTGGCCGTGGTTGCTGCCTGATGCCGGCTCGAGCCTTGTCCGCTTTATCCCGGGGGCGTTTGGGGCATCTGCTCCGTGGCCGGAGCGCCTTCCTCCTCTGCCTTCGTATCGTTGTGCTGCGGCCAAAAGGAATCTGTATTTGTTCTGTAGTTGCCCACCCAAAAACACATTAGTTACCTCTACAGGAAACGTGACTAAAGTCATCTGCTTCGTAGCTTCTTGTGTCCCAAACTACTGGGGAGAGCGTTACGTCAGCCAGACTCTACCTTGTTTGTACGTTCCCGTTACGGATTTGAGTGTTGGAGCGGGGGGAAAACGGCCGTAGCCAGGTCGGGGTGTGGCCGTGCAGCGACTGGGACAGTCGGGGACGCCTACAAACGTTCGTTCCTTGGTGCTCTGGAATTGGTCGGGTTTGGGAAGATGATGCATGGCTCCGTGTCGGAAGGGTCACGCTGGGGCCGGGGAGTGTTGCTGCTCCGGCCTCGTGCCGTCCTGGCTGTTGCGCTGCTGCTGCGGTCCAGTTGGCGAATGTTCTGCCCGTGTTTGCTGCGTCTCCGCCTCGAGGCGCAGGGACGCGCTGCAGGAATATGTGACCAGGCGTTGTCACCCGGCGTGGGGGAGCCATGAGGTGCACGACAGTGAAAGGCGCATTGGATTTGGGGACCACGAGGGAAGTCGGGGCTTCCCGACGGTTGGGAGGTGCTGGCAGAAAGCTTCCCTGGGAAGGAAGTGTCCCTCCATGCCTGGTGGGGCTGAGTGACGGCTGTCGGTGCGACAGCTGTGCTGTCAGGTCCCGGGGAGCTGCTGTACTTTTGGTCTCTCTCCAGGCGTAGCTGGGATTCCTGCGGTGGGGCCGCTTCCCAGCATCCCCCCCTCTTCCCGGGATGGCTTTTCTCTTCGTCTTGGGCGACGACTCGCACCTTTTCTCCTCCCAAAGCTCTGCTCTGCTGCTCTTGAGTCTCTGATGACTTCATGGAGCACACGTAGGTTGGTAGAAGCTGACCCGGGGCAGCATGTGCTGAGCAGCAAATGCTGTTACAGTACCTGCTCCCCCGGCTCCGGGGGAACATGGGGGGCCCCCGGGGCAGTGACACTGGCAGCTGCAGGGGCCGGAGCAGCTGCAGGGGCTTGCGGGAGCGGTCTGCAGGCAGAGGGTGGAGGCAAAGGGTGCGTGCAAGTGCTGTCATGTTTATCCCCTCTGCTGAGCCGGCTGTTCTGAGGTCCGGCAGCACAAGCAGAGCTGGAGCTGGGGGTGCTGGCGCAGGGTTAGCAATTGCCCCGTGGGTGGGAGTCGTCAGGCAGTTTCCTTTGACGTTCGTCTTATTCTTCGGAGGTTGGCTGGTCCATGGAAAGCTTGTGAGACTGGGCAGAGTGGTCTCTAGTCCAGCAGTACAGGGCTTCAGCTTTCAGGTGTGCGCGGCCAGGCCGTGGGAGGCTCTGCGGCCCAGTTGGTGTAAGCATCCCTTAAAAATTATATGTGCTCTTCGAGAGTCCTGCGTCTCGCCTTCGCTTGCGGAGGTGGCCACAGGAGAGGTGGGGCTGTCAGTGGAGAAGTGGTGGATTGCTTATCGCAGGAACGTCCTCAAACGGTGCTGGTGAGGTGTTGGTGGAGATTGAGAAGGAACAGGGAGAGCTGGCAGGGGTAAACGAGCTTTCCAGAGAAGGCTGTTGTTTCTGCAGCCTGTTCTGTGAGGGGCTCGGGACCAGCTCAGCTCTTGGCAGGGGTTGTTGCTCCTTCTTGAGGTGCCAGTAGGTTCCCTGGAGCAGGAAGTGTCCTGGCACACGCTGGCCCGTTGGCACAAGGCACCGATGTCCAGTGCTCGTTGAGCAGCTGCCCAGCTCCGGGCCAGTGCCTGTCTCCTCTCACCACCCTGCGTTTTGGGGTAGGTTGGGGAAATGGGGTGTTAGAAGCATCTTCTGGGCCACTGTTCTTGGGGCAGAGAAAGGGATGTTACCCACAGAAGAGGCTGCTGTGAGTTCCACACACGTGTTACTGCTCCAGAACGTAGGGAGGCGAGGACTTGAGCCTGTGACCTGGCCCTAATCGCAGTGTGGGAGAGGTTGGGCAGGGGCAGCGGACGCAGAGGCAGGGCCGGCCCTGTTGTGGGTTGGTGGGTGACCCGTGCAGAGCTGGATGTGGCTGCAGCGGTGAGAGCCAGTGCCCTGCGCGGAAGCAGAAGGAGATGACGTGACACGGTCTCTGCGAACTGGACTGTGATTTGGGCTCCACAGCTGTTGGTGGCTTCTCCTCG